ACGAGAAATTTGGGTTTAAAAAGTGACAAGGAAGGTAGGGTCTGTCTGACGTAGATTTTTTTAGAATTATTTTGTGATAAGTGAATTAAAAACAAAAAAAAAAAAGTTAATATGAGTTCATCTGCAAAATTATTTCATTAAAGAAAATGTATAATTAAAAATGAGTTTTGAATAAAATTAATTTTAGAAAATATGTACAAAGCATGGATTGAGTTTGTCTTTGACGTTGTAGCGTTAATGAACCCAGATGAGGTTATTGTCACTTCGTGCCACATATAAGAAATCAAGTGGCCGCAATCAAGTTTTCCTACTTCATCCCTACCAGTGAAAGTTGAATCGATTGTATTCCTACTTTTCTTGCGTGTTTTGTTCTCGTGGACTATAACACAATTTACCGAATATCTTGTCAATAGAAAAGATAAAAGAATTGCAAAACATTAAGCAATAAGATGGAAATATCAAATAAAATTCACAGTAAATAATCAACTTTGGTAAAGAAATATTTCCATTAAATATTGTCTAGGTTAAAAACTCCTTTATACTATAATAGTTCTTAATACAGAAAGTGCTAATTAAAGGAAATGAAAACTCAATAACTTGTGACAGGAACTCATTCTGCCTGACACTGATGTACAAAAAAAACACACACTGAAAGAGTGAAAGCAGTATACACAATTGCTTTGCTAGAATGTTTCATTAATTATCGGATACATCCCGTTCATTTCTCTGAATGATGCCAATCTCATTCTTATCTATAATTGACACCATCGAACCTGACGAAGGACCGTTAGTCGACATGCTTAGGCTTTGGCTCAGGCCTGGGCTCGGATGCTGCCAGAAGTGGTTTCTTATGGCCTTGAATTTCGAATCAGTTGTCGAAAATCCTGGATCAGAAAGTAAATCTTGAACAGCGGTTCGACCTTCAAGCATGCTCACCACTTGAGACATGGTTGGCCGGAGAGTTGGCGAGGCGTTGGTGCATAGAAGGGCCACGTTTAGCATCACCATAGCCTCTTCTGACGAGTAGGTGGATCCCAGTTCTGGATCAATCAGTTCCAGTAGATTACCTCTCTCTTGCAAAACATAAGCCTAATGTAAATCGGGAAGAGCATATTAGTCGTCATTTTACACGTGAAATCGAAATGGCATAAAAAGACGATCTAAGCTAATTATCGGAACCTGCTTTGAAAATTTTGCAGCTACGTTAAAGGGAGAACCGGTCATTATATTATTTTAGCTATCTTCAAGAAGCGATAAAATTTAGCAAATCAAGAGCAGAATATTTATATATTACCCAGTCGAGAAGGTAGACAAAATCTTCTTTCGGCCTGTAGTTTGTGTTGCTTTTACCACTGACAATTTCGAGTGTGACCACTCCAAAACTGTAGACATCTGCTTTATTAGTTAGATATCCACGCATTGCATACTCCGGAGCCATATAACCTCTGCATGCCAAATTTCAAATTAGGAAGACGTCTACTTTGAAGTGCGGAGTTTCAAGTGAGAAAATGTAAACAGAACAAAACATATAACAAAACCTACATGGTTCCTGCAATACGGGTACTAATGTGAGTTTTATCTTCTTCATTAAGTTTCGCTAGACCAAAATCAGATATTTTTGCATTGAGATCTTTGTCGAGCAAAATGTTGCTAGTCTTGATGTCTCTATGGACTATTTTCAGTCTCGACTCTTCATGAAGGTAGGCCAAACCTCTGGCTATACCAAGGCAGATTTTCACTCTTGTAGGCCAATCTAACTTCAGTCTTTTTGTTACGTCCTTTCCTGTCATAAATCATAAGAGAAAACAATAAACTTTCCATTGCCAGTCAGTTTCTTAAGTAAACCAAATGATTTGATTACAAAACCCACCAAAAAGAGCACGGGACAGACAGTTATTTTCCATGTACTCGTAGATTAGCATTAAATGATTTCCTTCAACGCAACATCCATAAAGCTTCACTAGATTTGGATGCTGCGATGCAGATATCATTCCTATTTCATTAACAAATTCACGAGTCCCTTGCTTAGATTTGGAAGAAAGCTGCTTCACTGCTATTACCGTTCCATCTGATAGTAGACCCTGCATCATCAAATAGTATAAATAGACATTAAGGAAGAGGCCTAATGGATTGACAATGTAAAAGTTATTGAAGCTTAGGAATCAAAATTTAATGAAGAAAGGTGAAAAAATTGCTTATGAAACGTCGAAGGCAATCCAACATTAGAATCACGGGATAAAGCGCACGTGCAAGTAATAAATGAAAGAACTGTAGTACCTTGTAAACTGAACCAAAACCACCCTCGCCAATCTTGTTTGCAGGATCAAAGTTCTTAGTCGCATCCTTGATCTGTCTTAATGTAAATAAACCCGTTTGTAGGTCAAGGCCTCTAAGCTCTGTCCATGACGTTATAGTAAGTTTCATCAGAAAATCAAACTTGAAATATATTATGGAGTTACCATTAAGCTCAACTGTCATTGTACTTGAGAAAATGAAATTTTTTTTTCCCAGAAATCCTCCACCACGGTTCAAATCTTCAAGAAAGAAACTACAAGCAGATAATCCTGTTTAAAATTTTTTTTTACGAATAATTTATGAGAAATCAATTGAGAAATCTCTCACATGCACACCATTCCTACATAGATCAGATACATAGTAGTAATTGTTTTTCTTTAAATATACATATAAATACATACAAACTCCTATAGTATTGAACAATCGTTCCATGTTATGAAGAAGCAAATCTGCTTCTGATTGAAGTCTGCTTTGTCATCCATGAAAGGTATGAACTTTCTCATTCTACTTAACATTTTTATTTTTTTGTGCACGTGTATGCAGGGGTGTGGGTGTGAGTGGAGGGCTAGCTTTTTTCACAATTTCCAGACGAAATGGAGAGTTTGCATGAGAGAAGTATGAAAGTAGCGTTGGTTGAAGTGTCATAATTTATAACATTATACTGCAGTTTCCCTGTGGTATTTTGCTTCCTACAAATGTTCTGTAACTTGACTTTTCCATGTGTCCACGATGTCCAAAATAGAACTGGCTAGTAGGGACTCAGAGGAAGACGAGTTGTACCTTTATCTGCAGATATTTTGCCTCCAAAACACCCTCTCCTATGTAAGATGTATAGAATAAAAAGCAAAAGACATGTAGCTCCAGATATTATTCCAGCCACCTCAGCAGATTTAATTTTCCTGTGATGGACTGGAGGTTTAAAATCTGCAAGTGAAAAAGGGATGTTAAAGATCTGTCATGCTGGAAAAGTTAATCGAGTTTAACATATTTTTTCTTCAACTAACACATCTAACGGAAGCCTTAATGTGCATTTGTTGAAGAAGTAGAATAGTACTACTCTTCAACTGCATGGTAAAAACAACTGATGATCATGAAATAAGTAAGATGACTTACTAGGATCAACTGATATAGCTGATATCAGAGGGCCATAACTTCCTCTTTTTGGGATTCCCGTGGTACCTCTTCCTGCCCAGTAAAGATGGATCTTCAGTGTGTGGCTCGTTACAGCTACAGTGAAAGTCTTTACAATGGGCTTACCAGGCCCACCAGCCTCAGCTGCAATATTAAAATCCTTCAATACTAACTTTCCCTACATTCATCGTACACAGTAAAGTTAGTGATCCTATGTGAAGTTGAACTCAATAAGGAAGAATCTGGATTTATACTCTCGTAGAAGCATTTACCTGTAGATATACATCAAATATACGTCTGCCAAGGCTGTTAAATGAACTATCATTTGTGAAAACAATTTCCGCAAAGTGGAGTTTCACAGTGTAGTTTCCATTCAAGAGACAAAGGCCATAGTAAGTGAGAGAGACTGGAGATACACGTGCAGTTCTGTACAGTTCCGATACCGGGGAAGTGACATTATACAGAGCAGTAACATTAGTTTCGATGTAGTTGTCAGCATCAATATCATTGTCCATGAAGTTCCCAGTGCTGCTAAATGCCCAGTTCTGTCTCGAGTAAAACATGGAAGCACCTCTGGCTTCAAGATCATCTTCATACTTTGTGCCATTTTCTAAGATTACATCTTTGCCGCCACAATTAATGTGCAAGGTGAAATATTCTATTGGAATCGACAAGTGGGATAAAAATTAGAATCTATTGAAACAGTTATAATGAAAAGAGTCTAATGGACGCGTCATAGATCTAGAATTTCTACTTTTTAGCATTCCTCATAAAGGACCAAAAAAAGTAAAAAACTTAAGCTTTAATTCAAAATTTGCAATCTTATAAGCTATAGAAAAATAACATAATATGAAGAAACATTAAAGCAAAACCAATTTATTCATGCTAGCTATTGTAATATACAGATTAATAATTTCACTCACGTGATCTTTTTGGATCCGAACATGGAAATTCTTGCTTCAGGCAAGAGTGAACTGTATTGCTAAACAAAAGGAAGGACAGAAATTAATAGTATGGTCTCAGAATGCTTTTATCTTCAAACCAGAAAATCAAACATCAAATATAGATTCCTTATATCACAACAATCACATCATAATTTAGGGGAAAAAGAGAGGCAATATCTTACGATTTATCAGTTGTTGAGGAGTAACTCTCCACCAAGTTTCTGAACCAATAAGAGTAAAACTTAGATGTAGAAATGACTATAAACTGCTTTGTGGATATCATCCAATAAAATACTTACACACTTCCATGAGGGCATTCATTTTGCGATGAGTCTTCCCCAATAAAGTTGTTATAAGAAATATCTCTGCAAGCAAAATTGTACAATTTCATAAGAAATATTCTTCATTACCAGGGAAGGTGAAGTTACTGATAATTACTACTTAGCTTAATTACAAAAATTACTTTGTTTTCATCATATTTATTTCTAAAAGGCATTCATTATAATCATTCATTATAATCATTTAGTTCAACTTTGAGGCATCATCCATTTGAGACTCCATGGAGCAACGGATTACACTTGAATAGAAGAAATGTGGTGCGACGCCGAATTTAGCTGAATCTAAATTTTAAAAAAACAAGGATGTTGAAGAAAGATCCTTACACATTCTTATTTCTCGATAAAATCCACCATGGAATAATCCCATTAAGCCTATTTCCTGTCAAATACCTAACACAAATAACAGTACAAACTTAGAAATAAAAACTAATGGACTAAGAAGTGTGAATCAGTAACGTCATGTACCACAAAGAGAACAGAATTATAAAGGATAAGAACTCACATAAAATCAGATTTCCCAAGATTGATGAAAGATGCTGGAATTTCACCAGTCAAGTTATTAAAACTAAGGTCCCTACAATGACAAAGTACACCATAGAATTAATTAGGTTTGATACCTCTGACAATGCAAGTATTATTCCAAAAGTAGAGCGATTTTGAGGAAAAACTTTATGAATGTTCTTGGAGGTTAAGATATATGTAATATAAATTATTGTGAAAACGCGACTGTCAATAATTTTCCCTTCTAATAATTTCCATCTATGTGTGTCAGTGGGAGTTTGTGTGCACCATAATCTCAAAAGTTTCCATGATCATAAAATAAGTATAGTACCCAATTAAAAAAAATTGTTTATCAACTTCGTAATATTGACGTGCCCAAATCAGTTCTTGAGGTTAAATATGCGACAATAGAGAAGCATTTCACCACCACAAACTACTATATTATGAGGACATCTCCTAGAGACTCTCAATTTCCAAAGAGCATCTTATGTATAATAGAGATCACTTTTAAATTTAGATAACATTTTGGCTCTTCATTTGCTTTTTTTTCAAGAAACATTTATTGAATTTTCCTTATTTTCTGTTTAACATATTTTTTATATATATCAATGGCAAATCAATTCAATTATGATTTGAATAATTTAAAAAGTAGAGTATTGAAATCCATAACTTGTTCTATACATTTGCCTCTCTAAAATAGAAAGCATCTTGTATTTGGAGATGCTCCTAGGAAATAATTGTCAAAAAGTTAAAAATACTTACAAATTTTTTAATTTTTTCATGTCCCCTATATATTCAGGGATCTCTCTATGTATTAAGCAACCCCTCAGTATCCTGTCAAGCAGAATTGGGTTCAATAATCTCCTTTTGTAGATCTTCAATACAACAAACCATAGGAAAAATGATTAAAGAACTCACAGCACTTTCATGGACTCCATACTACTTAGTGGCGGAAAGGTAGATCCTCGACCTGTTAAATCACTGATTCTCCTGAATGTAACAGACGAGCATAAGAAGCAAGGCTGTTATGCATTGATGGCGTGTTTGACGAAGTAGATTATAAAGTTCGTTAAATAGTATCAAACAATTAAAATTTAAGTTGTTTATTCTACTAACTAGTATCATCGTCAAACAAGCACTTTTGGTTTTAAGCACTCACAAGTCACTCAAGCTCGTCAGGGCAGAGATAGATGAAGGGATTGGGCCCTTGAGGGAGCACCCTTGCATGTGCCTGTAACCAAACCTCGAACTTAAACAGCAATCACAAATGAATTTAACTTAAATATCTATGTTTGAGCTCCAAATTAGGAGCTTTCTGAACTTGATACTTGAAGTTTGGTGTGCTGAGAAACATTAATACAAGTCACAATTCCTACTTCAACAGAAAAAGAAAGCTTACAGTTTTTCAATCTGTGCCCAGCTGCTGATGTATTCTGGTATCTTTCCTGTGAAGTTATTGTCGCTTATCCTCCTAAGTTAAAATAAGTAGCCATAAGATGCAATGATATAAGATATAGTTCAAAGTGAATGAAACGGAAAGAATACCTCAAACCATTGTTATGAGAATTAATCAGAATAACATATAAGATTCCAATTATACAAGGAAACATATGAAGTAAAAAAATCAATTGAGATCCCCTCAGAAGAAGCACCGATGCAAGGATGACAAATGAACCATGTAGTACTCACATATCAGTTAAGTGGGTTAGCTTGGAAAGAGCCATCGGCAATTCTCCAGTAAATTGATTTGATGACAAAATACTGAAAAGGCAATATGATAGTAGATCATTAATATAAGATCAAAATTGTATCTATTAATGGAAGTTCACAGAAAATTCAAGAAGTTATGTGTAATAAATGCTAAATTTTTTACATTTTTTGTAAATTGACCAAGCACCCAATATCTGAAGGAATGGATCCTGAAAACTGGTTTCCCTCAAGGCTCCTGTGTATTTAAAAGTATCAAGGTCAATATGAGATTTAGCTAAGATAAGACTGCGGGTCTGGACGAGATAAGCCATTCAAATATATACAGTAACATAATGAAAAAGAAGAAAAGAAAAATGATAAGATTTAAAATTATTAAGAGAAAATTGCGTCTTACAGGTTCACTAGGGTGGTAATTCGGGTGATGACCTTTGGAAATGGACCTGACAATCGGTTTCCCATAAAGGACCTGCAAATTTATCCCCAACCACCAATAACTGGACATGATAATGTATTTTCGACTAAAATAAGGAAGGCAGAATTCATTAAAGTTGAGGGAACAGAATTTACAGATCGAGCAAGCGCATTGAACTCCATTGGGATGGTATTGAACCATTGAGGTAATTGCGACTGAGATCCCTACATAACAGAATAATATAACATCAGATTCTTGGAATATTGTCATTGCAAAAACTAGAGGTACTATTTATCAAAGACAAATAATATGCTGAATTAGAGAATACGATCTTAACAATAACGACTCACAAATTTTTAAGATGGCGAAGCTTAGCAAATTGTCGTGGAACATCTCCCGTAAGATTTTGTCCTTTCAAAGCTCTGTAATAGTTCAATATAGTAAAGTAAGAGACATTACCACAATTTCACCATTATTATCTTGCAATGTAACAATTGAGGTATCAATTACAGGACAGAGATTAAATCCCTTCACAACTCAACATCTGGAAAATATGAGTAACTAATGTAGGTAGCTTCTCAAAGTGTAAATAAATTATCAATCTGGATCTGATCAATTTGTACCCTTTTCTTGATTTTGTCTAAATGAAAATGTCAACTAAAAACAGTGGTACTTTGAGTTCTGATTTCAATTCCGAGTTGCTGTTTTGCTTCTGGGAATCATGGCAGGGGCTTTCGCTCACAGGAACTATCTTTTTCGTTAGAGATTACAATCAAGACAAAGTATTGGCAAGTCAAACCAGCAATATCAGTGTCTCCTTACATAATAAGAATTTCTAACATTCACGATCTTGACACAGATGAGTAGAACTACTTATCCCTCCTACTGTCTGGAAGCAATATATTTCTCCATGAATTGATTTTATTACTGTTGGAATGGGGCCCATTTCTCCCACACCTGACACTCCAACAACATTTGACCACTCCAATGTATACCATATTATGCCAATTGTCATTTATGCCTTTCATTGCTGGCAAGATTAAAATCACGGAGTGTAAATTGGTAGTTCTAGAACTTGTGGTCAATAATTTGGCTTCCTTGAAATTCAAATGGTAACAATTTTCATTAAAATTTTCTCTTAATCAATCTTAGACAAGCACTCAATTCTGTCAAAACAATATTGAACTTATTTAGTGCATGTTTGATTCCCTTTAATTGGAGAGAAAATGAGTTTTGAATAGTATTTTTAGGAGAATGTGTGGTTGAAAGGTAGGAAAAAGTTTTGGGAGAATGTATAGAATATTTAATTGTGTGAATGTACTATCGAAAATGATCTTATAATAAATCTTAAAATAAATTAATGGGAATAAAATATATACTTATTATTCTTCCACAGGAAAAAATAGTAACAAGTTAAGGGCCCACAGATATTAATGAATACTCAGCCTCCATATGTACAGTTGGATATAATAAAGTCAGAGAGTCAACTTCACACTAATTAATAGTTGACTGACTTTTCAGTCCACTGACCCTATTACAGCTGGAAACTTCTGACATGGAAGTTCCAATTATCAAATGCAAAAGCTATCAAGCCCCAGAATCAGAACATTTTGAACAATTGACACCGTATCGTACTCAAATAGACAAAGAATAAGAACAATATGAACACTTACTCAAATTAGTCTGTGTTTTGGGGTGGAGGGTGGGGTGGGTGATAATCGAAGAAAAGGAATACATACATGCTAACAACATGGCAAGAAGAATTTTGATCAAAAGAGCAGTTACAAGTAACAGAACTCTCAATTCCTTTAATGGTGATAGGAATACTCCAATTCCCTTCTCCACTACATGGATCCTGGCTAAAATCCCAGTCTTTTTTACCCAATATTTTCCCAATCTCTCTTAAAGCACTCACTGCATTCAAATTTCAGTTTATTCAGCTTCCCAGAAAATCAAGAACTCAAATCTCACTTTATTCTGCGGAAAAAATAACAATTGATAAGTTACCTTCTTCTTGGTGGAGTCTGGGTGAGGCTGCAACTGAACCAGAGATTGTGCAGAAAATCAATTCAAGAAAACAGATTATGCATAAAAATTTCAACTTTTTAACAAAAACAGCAGTTTCAGGTTGCCTCTTCATACTGTTAATTTTGCTTTGTATTATTCCCTACCTCAATCTGCATCTGATATACAGAGTTTTAGTGCTAATGGCGATGAAAGTGAACTAAACACATTGATGGCTAGACAAGGAAAGTAAAGATAATTGATGTGAAGGGGACTGGACACTACTTGTTTACTGGATTATAATATTTGGAGCTTCATTTAATGGTCTTTTTATTACATGTGTCTCTTTCAAAGAATATTAAACGTGGGTTAAATATATATTTTTATTTAACTTTTCATAATTTTTTATGTGTAATTAGCACAAAACGTCTCTATCTTTCGTTATTTTTGTGGAAAAAGTCCATACCTTTCTTTTTTGACGGATTACATCCTTACCTTTATCATTTTCTTGTGCAAAACGTCCTTCTGTCAACTCTCTGTTAAAATACTCTGTTAAATCAAAAGATAATTAGCACAAAACGTCAATACCTTTCATTTTTTAGCATAATTAGCACAAAATATCCTTACCTTTCAATGTTATTGTGCAAAACGTCCATACTTTTCATTTTTAGCATTTTCACCTGGGTAATTAGCACAAAACGTTCCTACCTTTCTTTTTTGGCGGATTACACCCTCACCTTTATCATTTTTTTTGCGCAAAACGTCATTCTGTCAACTCTTCATTAAAATGTTCCATTAAATCAAAAAGTAATTAGCACCAAAGGTCCCTACATTTCAATATTATTGTACAAAACGTCCATACCTTTCATTTTTTAGCATAATTAGCACAAAAGGTCCCTACCTTTCAATGTTATTGTGCAAAACGTCTCTACCTTTCATTTTTAGCATTTTCACCCCTATCTTTCACCTTTCATTGTGCAAAAGATCATTTTCATCCATTTTTTCAACAAAATGACGATTTTACCATCCTATTCAAATAAAACAAAAAGAAATGTTCTCAATAAATATATAAAACGTATTTGGAATTGTTCCTCGACAATGCATATATGCTAGCAAAGATAGACATATTTAGGTCTATTAGCCGATTCAGTTCAACTTCATCCTAATTATCAATATTCTCAAATGAATAAAATGGATGTGGTCTTGTTGATCGGCCATGCATACGTGCTTACAAAATATACACATTTAGTTCTAGCGGCCAACTTAGGTGAATAGTACAACTCATTCACCTCAACTATAGAGTCCGTACAATAATTCTTGTCTAGCAAAGTTGAGCGTACATATATGTTTTTTTCTATTCAATATTGCACGATATTAAAAATAAGATAAAGTCAAACTAAATTGTAGTGTTCACTTCTGCCTAATCACACACTCTTATGAATATAATAATATATTTAACATGATTAATTAAGCAGAGCTTTGACTAAAAAATAATAAAACAAAAACTTAATTATCCAGTGTGAACAAACTGCAAAATCGGAAGCCACCGACAAATAAATGACAAATATATAAAGCAACACACCAATAGCAAGATGGATAAATATATATGTACCGAAAATGAGTAACTGAATTGGTGCCCTACTCTCACATGCGCGAGGGTCCGAGTGCATTTAAAAATTTCAGTTTGTGGGAACCACCCTCCTATTGTGAATGTAGATAAAAGATTTCGTAAAAGTGTGTAGGTAAATGTAGCATTTTCGTAGCAAGATTATGCCTTTAATGCAAAAAATGATTATAATTACTTTTTTTTACAAAATAATCAGATTATAATTAGAGCACAAATGGGTCAAATTATTCGACCCTACCATTTGTTTGCATGCATAAATTTACGCGTTTTCCCTAATAATTGAAAGGAAAATAAATAGACAGTTTGTGCGTTTATGGACTACTTTTTCCTTGACTACCTTAAAATGTATAAAATAAAAACATTGGTATAAGACAAATATAGATACTTTTTATTAAAGTTTTATTCAGAAAATTTGCAGCCCATGTCTTCATGTTGATGAAGGGGGGGCTCTCAAATTTAATATTTAAGCATTTTATTAATCGATTTTTTAATTTCGTTGCAGAGTCAGTGATGAAGTCAGAATTTTCACGTAGTAGCGCGGTGTGGACTTCGTAATCCCATTAGGTGCTCGACCACCAATACTTCCAGATGATCTGATGTCCAATAACCCTATGCACCTCAGTTCCAAGTGCCAAACATTACTCGACCGCTAGTACTTTCTCATAATCAAAATTGACTATTTCGATAATCAAATATATTTAGGCCCCATTTAATTTTCATTTTTCTCTCTCTTCTTTTCAACCACGCGTTTTTCATTAAAATAATATTACATGTAAATCAAAAAAATTTCATTCACACATTCTCCATCAATCTACTATTCAAAAATTCATTTTTTCTTGAAAATGGGTGTCAAACACCCTCTTAATCTCAAGTACTACTACACAACATAGTTGAATTTGCCGAAATCATAAAAATATACACGAACAATGTTAAAAATCAGGGTCATATGATAAAATATACAGATATATATAGTGTAATTGAAAAAACAGAGGATATTAATTGATTCAAGCTCTTATAAGATTTTCTTGAAGAAGCTGGTTCCAAATATCAGGAATTCCAGGAAGGCACCAGTGTGTACAGTCCATGCCAAGCTTCCTGGTGTTGCCATAAATGGAGGGATGCCCATCACCCCTAAATTGTGACAATGCTGTGATTTTGAGCAAGTGAATAGGCTTCCTCACGGCTCCGAGCACGTCCTCCAATATGCTCTCGGGTAGGTTTTGACCCCCCAGATATGCCTCTGGTGTGAAGGGCTGCTGTTCGCCGCTGCAGTGGTGAAGTTCCGGCTTGCCCCATTGAGTAGCACTGTCGTGACAAATAAGAAAAAAAATGAGGTTCCAATTACATTAGTCCACTATACAGAAAGTCGTACAAGATTTGAACTTCTTTTTATTCTATAACATTTTCCAAACCCGCACAATAAACATGTCAACATAGATTTATGTTACATACTTCCAATGATCGGGAGAGATGCTTTGGAAAAAGATTTTAACTCTCTTGGTGTTGACACTCCGGTCTATCCATCGAGTCATTGTCCTCAAGGCTTTCTCATAAGCAACCATTCTATCCATATCTCTGAGTTTAACTTTTCCATCTTGAATCAAATCCCATCTGCAGCAAAAAATTTAAACACCAAAACTACAAAACACACCAGTAGAAAATTTTACTGATAAATTGGAAAGCTGAAGAAAAAAAAATTAGATTCTCACGGCTGTTTTCTTCCTGTGTGAAGCCACCAGTGCCATGTATCAAAGATCAAAATGTCACTGCCCAACCACTGTTTTGCACTACCATCAACCGAGTTGAGTTTAAGCACTCTTGTTGAGTTTTCCATCGTAATGTCGACTAGTAATGCATTCCGCGAGTACATCAACGTGAAATTGAATTGCTGAAAGAGTTATTCATTGCATTAACACATGCTACATAAAGATAAATTTTAGTTCAATCTTTCTAGAATGGCATTGGGTACAATATAAAGTATAGGGAGACTAATGGGGTAACGAACCCCATCCTCAGCTAAACCAGCCCCTAGTCAGGGGCGGAGCTAGAATTGTGGTGTTTTGGGGGCAAATTTCACAAAATTTTCATTGAAAATTACAAATTATAATAATTTTTTTTTTTAAATCTTAGGCAAAATCTTGGATTTAAAATGTAGTGTGGGGGCAGCTTACCCCACTATTAGTCCACCATCATCCCTAGTGATAGTCTAATGGAGGACGTTCTGCTAGTGTGTAAAGCCCACCTTTCTCTAGAATCTCAAAGTGAGACAGAGGAGGTTTGAAACCATCGAATTTCATATAATTAACATGCTAAATGATTATTATTCAAGCAAACTTATTTTGCACAATGGGTTTCATTTGAAGTCTCTAATTTTCAAACAAAAAGGATATATTTAACGTCAAAGAATGCATAAGTAGATATCTCTTATCGAGTATCCCTTTACTTCCATGTCTTCCATCGCTAGAAATGGCTGGACGACAAAAAAAGACATCTTAATCATATATAAAACTCTACATTTATGGTACATTTACTTGATTGTTAGTACAATAATCAATTAAATAGAGAAGGATTAATCAAACCGGAAAAACAATTGTGGACAGTAGACCCAATTTTTGGGTCCTGTAAGCCGCACGTGGGAACGCACTATGGATCATGCAAGCCAAAGATTGCCATTGATTCATGCTTATTGAATCTCCCACGAACATCATGCGTTTTCCTCCAACTCTCCTCATGAACGCATTCCCATTCCACCTAAATCAAACACCCGACTTGTAAAATCGTTTTGACGTCGTTCGTGTATCGGATACGTGAAGAAACGAATCGAATTAATAAATTTACCTTGGTAGATTACAGTTATGGGGTTGCCATCTATACTTTTGATAACCTTGATCTGGCCGTCCATTTCCCAAGCAATTAAACTGCTGTATCAAAAATGGACAGTTTTTCGATTTGTAGAGAGGATAAGATTCATCAAAAACCCATTTTCCTTCATATAAATGGCAGAATTTGTTCGTTTTAACGTGTGCATGTTTAGCAGAAACATTGAGAACTGTAACTGCAAGAATTGTAAGAACTGCTACTGCACAAGAACCCATTTGAGGAGAAGAAGAAGTTGAAAGGAGAATCTATGAACTGAACAGCTAATTACTGTCGTGAGCGAGTTATGGAGTAGACAGTTGAGTTATTTATAATAATAAGTCTTTTTTTAATTTTAATGAACAGGAATTTAAGGTTATGAGTTGGATTTATAGATAGTGCACATTCTTTTTCTGCGTCGTGAGTGAGTAATGGAGTTGACAGTTGAGTTTTTATTTATTTTAAATAGTAAATATTTTAATGAACAGGAATTAAGGTTATGAGTTGGATTTGTAGGTAGTGAGCATTCTTTTTGTGCATGGTGCTGGCTTGGAAAAGTTCAAAAAATTGCTCAAAATATAGAGATTAAAGTCAATGATTTAACCATATATTTTACTGGAAAAGAACCTGAATTTTTATCAAAATTTGCTATTTTTTTAATAGAAGAATTTGTTAAACAATCCTTCAATGGAGGCTACACAAGTTTTGTATTTCATTATATTCCATTGTTGTAGTAATTTTCAATTTATATCTTTATGTCTTTATTGGGAGGTTGAAAATGAAGTGTGCTAAAAGTTTTTGTAGCTAACACAGACTCTCC